TTTTTGTTTTATCAACATTCACTTGTAATTTCCATTTTTCACAATATTTTTGAAAACAATTGAGTTGATATTGGAGATCTTCCTTAGTTTCAGACATCAATACAGTATCATCTGCACTCATAACTTTTACCTGGTCCATTATCTGGAAAATGTATTTCGAATTCAGCTTCCGAAGCAAGCCTGGTAGCTTGCGTCCTTAAATGTATCATCCGTGCAAGTTTGGTCAACATAAAGCTCATAGTAACTTGGAAATGAATCCTGCACCAAAAACTTTAACCTGTTTACTCAACTGGAAAATGTAGGTCAGATTCAGCATCCGAAGCAAATCTGGTAGTGTGCATTCTAAGATGTATTATCCTTGCAAGTTTGGTCATTAACGGGTTCATAGTAACTTGGAAATGAGACCTGCACCAAAAACTTTAACCCGTTCACTCATCTGGAAAATTTTGGTCAGATTCAGCATCCGATGCAAGTCTTGTAGTATGCATCCTTAGATGTATCACCTATGCAAGTTTAGTCATTATTGTCTAAAGCGAGGGGACATGAAACCATCTGTCAGTCTGTCCGTCACAAAAACTTTAACCTTGCCCATAACTTTTGATTTAGTGGAGCTATGACTTTCATATTTCAATATAGGGCATAGAAGTAATCAAAAAGAAAACTGCTCCAAAAAACTTAACCTGGGACGCCGACACCGAGGGTATCACATAAGCTCCCCCAACTTCGTTGAGATGAGCTAAAAATAAAATAAGCCTTACAAACAAACGTATTTACCCGCTTTGTCAGGTTGGACAAGTACAATCTGTTGATTTATCTGAATCGTATTTTTTTCTCTTTCGAGTTCTCGAAGGTAGAAAATAAAACAGATCTCTGAAAACATGCATGTGCCTTAGGCTTATAACTTTTGAACAATGACGGAAGACCTTTTGTTATTCTTCGGTTTCTTTTCCTTTCTTACCAATTTTGTGCACGCGATCTCTCGTAAACTACTTTTACCCTTTGAAACTTTCGCATCTGATAGGTACTTTTAACCTTATTAAAATTTTTGTTGTTGATGACGTCACTTCCGGTCGTGAGATATCGATAATTTGCTGATTTTAAAGTGCAATTTTGTCTGAACTTAGTAGCGAAAACTGCTTAAGATATGAACTTGAGACTTATTTGAGATGATAGTTCATGACTTATAGCTTTGCAGAATCACCTTTCCGTGTGTCATCAATACTTCCTGTCGCTACCGGAAGTGAATTTAAAAAACGCTACTTTTCAATTTTTGTTTTTTAATATTTTTGTTTCTGAATTCGATAAAGACCGTTTTGCAGAAGCGAAATATGTAATTTGTTTGAAAATCAAAAAAGCCAATATCGAGATATTAGCATTTGAAAATTCGAAGCGGCGATCTCAATGGCTAAATGGTTAGCGCATATATATGTCACTGGGCGACCCGGGTTCGATCCCCCATGTGTCCAAAAATTTTATCACTTTTTCTGCCTGATGTTTTGGTATTTTTCAATTTTAGACGATTTGCAACTATATATTATAAAGTTTTGATCATATCTTGCGTAATTAGGGGTCACAAGGGGCCAGAATGTCAAATCTTTGACGCTTTATATCTCGAAAAGGGGGAATATTTTGATAAGCAATATTGAACAAAAGATGGTCAGAATGATATTTTGAATAATATGCATACTTTGAATTTTTGTCAAACGGCCCCATTAAGGACTTGTAGGAGTGGCCCCTAAATATTTACATTTAGCATATCTCCACAACGAATAGAAATCTCTGAATAAGTGTTGAACAAAAATCTTTAAAATTACAAGACCTTTCATTTGATATCAAGAAAATGGGACGGACCCCTCAAATTAAGGGCTCAGAGGGGCCAAAAGTCTTTTATCTATAACTCTCTAATTATCAATATTTTGTTATACATTACTGAAGCAAAAGTATTTAGCTTAACGATTTGCAGCTATATATAGATATAATTTTGATCATATGTTACGTAATAAGGGGTAACAAGGGGCCAGAATGTCAAATCTTTGACGCTTTATATCTCGAAAAGGGGGGATATTTTGATAAGCAATATTGAACAAAAGATGGTCAGAATGATATTTTGAATAATATGCATACTTTGAATTTTTGTAAAACAGCCCCATTAAGGACTTGTAGGAGTGGCCCCTAAATATTTCCATTTAGCATATCTCCACAACGAATAGAAATCTCTGAATAAGTGTTGAACAAATAATTTTCAAAATTACAAGACCTTTCATTTGATATCAAGAAAATGGGACGGACCCCTCAAATTAAGTCCCAGGGGGCCAAAAAATTTTATCTATAACTCTCTAATTATCAATATTTTGTTATACATTACTGAAGCAAAAGTATTTAGCTTAACGATTTGCAGCTATATATAGATATAATTTTGATCATATGTTACGTAATAAGGGGTAACAAGGGGCCAGAATGTCAAATCTTTGACGCTTTATATCTCGAAAAGGGGGGATATTTTGATAAGCAATATTGAACAAAAGATGGCCAGAATAATGTTCTTAACAATATGCATACTTTGACTTTTTGTAAAACGGCCCCATTAAGGACTTGTAGGAGTGGCCCCTAATTATTTCCGTTTAGCATATCTCCACAACGAATAGAAATCTCTGAATAAGTGTTGAACAAAAAATCTTCAAAATCACAAGACCTTTCATTTGATATCAAGAAAAAGGGGCTGATCCCTCAAATTAAGGGCTCAGAGGGACCAAAAGTCTTTTATGTATAACTCTCTAATGATCAATATTCTGTTATACATTAATGAAGCAAAAGTGTTTATCTTAACGATTTGCAACAATATATGATACAATTTTGATCATATGTTGCGTAATTAGGGGTCACAAGGAGGCAGAATTTCAAATCCTTGATGCTTTATATCTCGAAAATGGGGAATATTTTGATAAGCAATATTGAACAAAAGATGGTCAGAATAATGTTCTAAACAATATGCATACTTTGAATTTTTGTAAAACGGCCCCATTAAGGACTTGTAAGAGTGGCCCTTAAATATTTCAATTTAGCATATCTCCACAACGAGTAGAAATCTCTGAATAAGTGTTGAACAAAAAATCTTCAAAATCACACGACCTTTCATTCGATATCAAGAAAAAGGGGCTGACCCCTCAAAATAGGGGCTCAGAGGGGCCAAAAGTCTTTTATCTATAACTCTTTAATGATCAATATTTTTGCGTGGACCCTGAGGTCCACGCAGTAAATATATAAGCGAGGTTAAACCGGATGCCATGGGCATACGTCAGGCTACGCATGCGCGAGAATGCTGGAGAGTTCGCAATTGCAGTCAGAGGTCGGAAAACATCTTCCGCCAGCCGGAAAGGCCAGAGAATTTGCGATTGGGAGAATCGCCCCCTAATACAGCTTACCCGTAGAATAATTTGCCATATTCCAATTGGAATATACCATGTTCATTGGCAAATATCGCTTTTAAACCTGCATATCGTATTTATTTGCGCATCCGAATTTCTTTCTTACGTATATACTTTTATAAACTAACCATTGATTTCAGGCAGATGCATTTCAAAGAGTAGGAAAAACTTGTCTTCATCGGCATTTGTTTTTTGCATCGAGGCTCGCAAAAATAATTAGATATACAGCATTTCAAATGCAGCTTGATATAGACCTGTAGCAACGGTTTTCCATGGGGAGCTCTGAGGATGGAGGGAGGGGGCTTTGGAAAATAAAATATGCGTACTACAGAACTGTATCTACACGTGTACAATCAGATATATTTTTCAATTATAGATTTCTTCCGTATAAATCCAGAACATATGTTAAGTCCCAGCCATTTTAGGTTACATGTATCAATATAGCCTTTTCTAAAAAAAAATGACAAAACTATATGCATATGTAGGCCTATCGGAGATAACATTTAACGAATTCGCTATGAAAGTACTAACAGTTATAGTAGGCAAATCATAACAGAAAGTGAACGAACCTACATAAATGTACACTAAACCTAGAAATTGTATTGAATTGAATTTCGGTTAGAAACACATGCATATTGTCCACGTATTGTAGTCCTTTTTTTAAAGGACAGCAACTTGTATTATACATTACTTGGCCACAACTTTTGAACATAACGGACTTTGCATATTTCACATATGTCTTTTTTGTGGCAAGACCTTTAATTTGATACCAACAACCTTGACCTTTTGACCTTGACCTTGGAGATTTTTATAAGCTTATTGAACAAAACTTTAACCTTGACCATAACTTTTGAATGGTAATGGCTAGGAAAACTTCACACATGTAATCCTTTTGAGAAGACTTTTCATTGCATACCAAGAAACGTTAACCCTTTGACCTTGACCTTGGAGTTCAGTGATAATTTCTAAATAGATGACTTATGATAGGGCGTTCATATTAGACACAAAATGTCATGAAAAAATGACATCTCACCCAAAAAAGACACCGAAAGCGGGGGATCACAATTCTTTTTAAAATTTATTTGGGCCACTGGAGAGAAACATTTGAATATTAAAGACGACATGAAGACGGGCAGAAGAACTCTGGTCTAAAACCTAGCTATTAGTCTTTGTCTTGCATTAGTGAGAATAAATGAAAAAAAAAACATATGATAACATAAAAGGCATTTATTTACACTGTTGTGCAAATAACAATTCACAGTCCGAGAATTTGGTCACTTAGTTATTCACAAATTTGAACAAAACCAAGACAACAGTATGGAAAACGCTTACATTTTTACGAAACAATATAATGTTAAACAGCAAATAAAATCAGTTACTGGGTTCATTTATTTTACAACAGCATGGAAATGAAATTAAGTTAACGTTCGCGTCAAATTAGAAAACGTTAGTATTCACAGCACTCTTGTTTCACTTGGTAATTTTCAATGTAGAAAACAAATTTGTCATATAAAGATACACTTAACAAGAGAGGGTATATAAGGTTTTATATACCATCAATAACAGAGGGTATATAAGGATTTATATACCGTCAATAACAAAGGATGGTGTAACGGTAGACGAATTAATACACTGAGGCTGGCTGTCCCTGGAAACTTCCCTGGAATACTGAATGGTCTAACACCTGTTTCTTATTGTTACTGAGATAAAGGTCCCCATTGGGGTAGTCCTCGCCTATTTCCGGCCTGTTTTGTTCGTTTTCTTGCTCTGTCTCGTCTTGATTACAAAGCTTTGAGTCTGGTGAGAGGGACTTATTCTCAGATATTCTTGCTCTCTTTGTGGGCTGTTCACTATCAGTGTCATTGTCCTGTGAATATTCAAACACCTGTTCCAAAGCCCTTTTCAAGTCATTTTCACATGTCACAGAGGCAGGTTGACCACATTCGGAACTATTTAATTCCTTTTTGATGACGCATTTGACCTGTTCTCCTTGCACAGTTATCGCATCTGACATCATCATATGTGTTCCGAAGTTATAGTTGTTAGTATAGCAACCTTCTTCTATTTGTTTAATTTCCCCCATACCGGAAACGTCATGGATGCTGGGAATGATGTTTTCCTGGATCGAGTTGGGTTGGTATTGTGTAGCGATTTGAGGCGGATACGTAACAGCCCGTGCCACAGGTGCCGTTCCAGTGAAAGCTACATTGGCTGGAAACAAACCTTGTTGGGGGTACGTCAGGTAGTTTTGATGCGAATGGTTTGTATTGTCAATGTGGCGCCTAAAAAAGGGTCAAGTATATACTTTCAAATTACTGTGCTTTATCAATGCAGAACATTAACAAGAGTTACATGCTCATTTATACCAGTTCTATTAAATTTGAATATTAAAAATGTTATAAGAACTTTTTTGGTTCCTTCAATTATTTTTCCTTTTACCAAAGCAATATTTATATTTTTAAACATTTTTATTAACAACTTTTATGCCTCATACATTAATCTGAAACTAATGACTATGTTGGTCTTTTAGTCAGTCCTTTAAATCCCGTTAACAAACTCAAAAGAATTCAATGTGTTTGTAAGATAAAAGGACTGGATAGGTAAAACTCCTTATTGGCCCCTGATTTTGGGTGTCTTTCAGAGTGATTCAACAGTTTATGAAGACATATATTGTTATCCCTGCCACAAAATGAGCATTGGTTCAAAGTTATGGGATACACAGAGGTCACAGAGAGGTCGGAAAATATGTCAATTCCGAATTTCTCATTTTTATGAAAATTTTCATCGATTTCACAGCATATTTTGTTTCAGAAAACATAGAGCACAAACTTGCCTATCTACCAAATTTATATATTTCATACACTGGTATAAGATGCATTATATATATAAATCTCAGATAGGCAAGTTTGTGCTCTATGTTTTCCGAAGAGAAAAATATCTCAAACATGATGAAATTCCGCCAGAATTGAGGAAATTCCGGAAAACGTCCTACATGTACCTCTGCAACATCTTATGGCCTCTGTGTAAGCTTTTAATCAAAATAAGTGCTGGTTTTAAAACAAACATCATCTTAACTATACAAATTATCACAATTATACTGTTCTGACTTTTAAATCAAATACGGGGCCAGAATCGGCCATTATCATACCTTGTCCTTTATTTGATATTTTGTATATTTCTATGTAAGCCTTTCTTACTGAAGTCGATGCCTTCCCCGGAGTCCATAATTTAACATTAAAGGGTCGAAATGAAGATTCTTTAATTGATAAAAGACTTGACTTCAATAATTTCTGATTTTTTTTCTGTTAGTACAGATCTTTTTCTATTTTCTCCAAGCCCTAAATGTCATCTTCACCTTATATCTTTAATGATCTTACTACAATTATGATAAATTTGAAATTAATTATTTACTTAGTATTTAGCTAACTACCACACGAAATGTGGACCAAGTATCGTTTGTTCTCACGTGTATTCAATTAAGTTGATATATATCCATTGTGACATTTGCAGAATAGACAGCCAACAGCCAATAGCCAGCTGGTAAACACTTACCCTTCGTAGTTGTCACGGAAACCTTTTGCGAAAGGATTGTGATCAATTTTCAGCTGTGTAATCTATCAAAAGGAAAACGAAAATCAGTTATACAAACTAAGCAGGAAGGGGTAGGGGCACAGTCTAACAGAAATTCTTGACAAAAAAACCCAAAAAAAAACAACTCATCATAACCAGTAGTTTTGCGGGTAAAAAAGGTCATAGAAAATCTTTGTTTTCTAATGATTCATCGTTTGATAACTAACTACCTTGACCTGTTTATAGACAATTCTACCAGTTATTGACTGAGAGGGAAGACATGCCGCGGACACTACTCTCCAATAATTAACGAATGTCATCAAAAAATTATCGGATCCATGACTCTTGGAACCGCAATAGTTTTGTCCATATATAGTATATTACAGAAAAATAGTTTCTTTTATACAGTGACCACAATTCGTGAAAATTTTGCCCTAATAAAGAGTAAATGACTATCTCGCTCAATAATAACGTCTGGTAAATTTTTTTTTGCCTGACAAGGAATTTTTGGTAGTAAATAGTGCCCCCAACAAAAAATATGTTTCTGCACTCCCTCACCCCCCCCCCCCTTTTAATTAAATTGCTTCCTACGGGCCTGCAAACCTGTATAGTTGAAATAAATATTTCAATGTTGATCGAATCTAACACTTATTTAGACCATATAAATGTGTCATCTCACGCAGTCTAAAGAGTGTGTATTGCCTTCAACAGCTGAAAACAATTTCCGTTTTTAAAGCCAAACAGAGCTGTACCTTGGACCCCAACAACAACATTATTTTACACTCCGTGATTTTACTGATTAAGCAATGAAATAGACAACTGAAGTTGTTATTTAAGAAATCACTGCCTAGTTAGTATAGTATGCCAGGGCATAAACGATAGTGGGAAACGTGGGATAATTTGCATAACGGGCGAAGCCCGATTTCTTGATAATTAAACCAGAATGTTAATTTTGCCAAGCAAAAAGTCAGGAGCTAAGAAGCCCTTATAGGCACAAAGATCTCGTGCATCTGTCTGTGTCTGAACTCAGTGAGCGGGGACTATTGAAATTGGCATGGACGACCTCGTGTATTTTAAATCTAGTAGACATTTCTTAAATCTAAATTCACAATTTTATTTCAGAATGAAATGGAAATATAAGGAATCACTGTCTAGTTTGTTGGGTTATACCAGGAACATCAAAGATAGTTAGAAACGTGGGATACTTTATGCATAAAGGGCTTCGCCCTTTAAGCAAATTAACCTACGTTTAAAACTATCGTTGATGCCCTGACATATCCAACAAACTGTGATTCCTTAAACATTTACGATAATGTGTACTTTATTTCTCAAGAATAGATAAGGACAAAATTAGTAGGGTTTCTATAGGCCTGAGTAAAGCTATATATAACCTAAATGACTGTTCCATCTCTGTATTTGAAGATAAATGATTTTTTTTTTATTATCTGAAATATCTTTAAATTAAAAATTCATTATTTTTAATCCATTATATGAGGATTAGATACATACAACTTGAAACAAATAAATATATATTGCAATTTTTAAAGTCCAAATGAAAATTAATTTTGGTCCTTGGGCAATCCTCACAATGTCAAGGTTTTGTGATTTCAGTGTTCCGAAATCACAAAACCTTAATTGACATTGTCAGGATGTCTTCGGGCGTGCAATGGAGTAAAATTGTTGCTGTGTCTAAAGGAATGTTGCACATGAGAGTATCTTTTAATGCAAAAAGAATGGGGAATTATAATTATGTTCAGCTTAAAAACAAGAACGTGATGAACTACTGTAAGCAGATATCTACAAGAAGAGTTATCCTTCCTGGCCGAGGATTGGAGTGCTTTAACATACATGTATTGCGCTTGGCCACAAACAGACATGAAACTAGATAAGACGTCACAGTAAATTAAAACCATTTCTTTCCTGAACTGCAAAAAGATGTTCTTATGCAAGACATAAATCTTTAGTGTGTATCAACATCATAACTTAAATCGTCTGGTTTACTGAGCTTGATCGATTTTAAGGAGGCTAGGGGGTCAACAAATTAACCACCAGATTTAACTAAATTTTTTAGATATGATATCTTAAGCAGTCAACTATCATTTGGCAAAGAAAAATTTCATACGTTTTATTTTTTAAATTTGATAATTTTTGTATATCTTTATATGGAGCTCTTCCTTGAAAGGAGGTCAAAATAGTCTGAAAATGGCCACAACTCCCCAGCCCCTTTAAATTGTTACAGCCAATGAGAATTCGGGGATCTTAGAAGCGGATCTATTCAGTATTTATGAATTCCCTTATTTTAAACATAATTATTGCTGCTAACGTCAATATTAATATCACATGGATTTATTGATGTTTCATGATACCATAGAACACAGTCATTTTTCAACATCGTTCGCCGTCTTCAAGAGTTGAAGGATTTTACAGTCTACGGTTTATGCACTTCCTCTCTTTTGTGATTGGTAGAAATTGCATGATGAGAAGAATTTCAATTATTTCACTGGTTGAAATGCTGTTCAGTGCAAGGGAGATAATTTTCTGATTATCTAATTTTCGTGCGATTTGATAATATTTCAAGATTTTCGATCGTTAAAAAACGAACAGTGGAAGAGTATCAATTCTAAATAACATTGCTATTATAATAGCTATTACTGAAAAATGTTTCTATATTTTCATCGCAAACAGAATTGATCTCCATTGCACGCCGCAAGCTTTACAAGTTGTATGTACTCTTTCCCCCATTGTTTTGCGTTGTCTTTCTAATCTCGGAAGCACTCGGCACACCTCATAAATGTAACGGAATCAACCGAGGTTTGCCGAATGATCTCAGCAGAGTTTACGGAGACATCCAAACGTCTAGTTAACCTTTCACTTAGTAAGGCTAATGTCAGTAAACGACTAAAGAAGAAATACAAAGCCAAGAAGTTTGAAGAATAATACGACCTGATAGGTGTAGGTCAAATTACTGTTAAGGTTGTTGCTACAGACGGTATGCTTTTTGAAAAAAAAGCTCTACTTGTTTGCTTTAAGTTTTAACATCACCAGATGTTAAAAATTATTCATTTCCTGTTTATTCAAATATTGGATAGACGGAGTTAGAAGGTCCTTCTATAGTATACTTTAGGTAATATCATCACATCGAATAAAGTTAAACCCCATATTAGACAGATAAAAGGTCTCCAGCATTTATTTCAAAGATCGTGAAAAGGGAGGTTGTCATGGCGTCTACGTATATACATTCGAGGTAGTTTTTCCGCTAGTCGGAAAGGCCCGAGAAGTTGCGATTGGTCTCAGTACATCACGCAAGAACTGTCATGACTGCTGAAGAGAGCGGCTGGTATTTTACCTGGTTTTCGCGTTTAACGGGGTATATTGATGGCAGTGAATAAAAATTCCGTCTTATGAGAAGACGGTTGAATGTAAAAACAATTAATTTGAACTGCAGTTGCCCAGCTGCAGATCTGTAGCTCTCCGAAAAAAATATATTGACAGACTGGAGAGCTACAGTGCCATTGAAAAAAACGGTACATTTATTGAGCACAAAAAAGTGCGCTGTTTCTCGATTTACTTCTTCATGTTTTTAAACTGTCATCTCAAAATATTACTAAGCATGTGTTCCTAACATATTCTTTCACCGTTTCCACAACAAAACATTCCTTATAATTGTTGTCAATAGCCCTCCTGGCCCTGAAATCGGGATCATCGAAAATTTCGTCTTTTTATACTGCCATTTTGGTTTGCAAGATAATTCGGTCCAACGCACTTAGCGCAGATGTCAACTACGAGAATACTTCACAGAGGAGTCAGGAATATTTTTAAATCTATCTTTTTCGCGGTTTAGGTAAGAACTTGGAAGAATTAATCCAGATTTAAGCGCAACTTTTTGTGCGCAATAAATATACATTTTTTACAATGGGTGGCACTGTACATGTATCTCTCCGATCTGTCAATATATCGGGTATTTTTTTCGGAGAGCTACAGATCTGCAGCTACAGTCGCCCATATTTTACAAATATATTTGCATCATTACAGAGATGCTGTGAAACTGTAGCGATACCCGTGACTATGCGGATCTGGTCAGGTATAGTCCCCTAGTGCTTGTAGACGTTTAATTAAATGATCAGGAATTTTACAACAATTTTGACACTTTGAATAGTTCTTCTCTAAACACTTTAACTTATCATACTAATATTTCAACAGCTTAAAAAATACTAGTAGTTAAACAGTCGAAAAAATATTATTAAACAATAAATATTCAACTTTTACCTAAGAAAGGAATTTATTGTAGTTTATTCAGCAATGGCGTCTGTCATGTTAACATTCACAGCAACATATGCTTTAAAACGTGCAATTTGATTGGTCAAAAAAATGTATTAATCAAAGTTTTTCAGAAGTCCCGAATAAAACTCCAGGAACTTCATTTTGAGGTAAACTCGATCTGAGGTACACATCAGGAAAAAGGTGTTTAGACTAATTATGCAGAGAGTATCAAAATTCATGAGATCATAAATATTAATCCGCTAATACTTCAAAACGCCAGGGCTGCTTGTTGCCGTGAGCGGGCGTGTCTTAAAGCATTTCCAGGAATACTCTACTGAATATTGATTATGCAAAGTTCAATACGAAAGAGCTAATCGTTATCTCAAAAAAAAATTTAATTTCAAAATAGTTTCCCATATGGTTCTCTTTTATCATGGTGGGATTTAATGGCTTGTCGATAACGTCAAAACTACGCATACGAGGGTTGATCCAAAAGTTCGTGGTATTTCTTCATATTTTCTTTATTCATAAGTGAAATTGGTTGAAAATTACAAATAAGAATATAGACTCTGACTTGTTGAATATTTTAAATAAAAAAAATATTTCATTTATTTGTGATAGTAACTATATGGCAGTTGCTATAGAAACGGATGTTTGGAAATGCGGGGACGACATCAACGCGTTTATTATTATTTTAATTCTTAATACTTGATATGAGAATAAAACTGTCCTATGTGTTATAGAAAAACGAAAATTATGTCATTACTACGATTGTATGCTCTTT